CATATGCTTCGTTGATCTGATTGGTTTATTTGGCCCGTCTATCACCAACATAGGCCAATCAGCTAACCAGGATTTTCGCCCCTTCCCAAAATTACTTCAACGGAAGGTTTCCAGATGGATATGCGGAGCAAATCCATCTGGCGGAGTCAGGTTAGTAGCTGCGTGCAACGACTGAGTATTTTTACTCTTAAAATTGGACCTTTAGACAATATGTACTTAAAATAAGACAATGCAAATGTGTTTTCTTATTCTAAGTGTAAATTGTCTTGTTCTATTGGCAAAATGTCTCTTTTACACTGGAAAAATGACCTAGAAATAATTAAAAAGTTCTTAAATTATGTGTATTTACCCTTAATTTGAGTAGATAAATGAGATAATTTGCCAATGGAATGAGTATTTATACTCTTAAAATTTGATAATTAGATAATATGCACTTGAAATAAGACAATGCAATTGTGTTTTCTTATTCTAAGTGTAAATTGTCTTGTTCCATTAGCAAAATGTCTCTTTTACCTCATTAATCCAAGAAAAATTAACTTCTGTCAAGAAAAAATGACTAATCTAGATCTCGATTTTTTCCAGTGCGGGCCCCTTTGGCCCCTGTCTAGAACCGCCTCTGGATTTATTGCTCCCAAACCCTGACAGCTCAGGAAGCAGCTGCTCTACTGTTCATTACTACGTCTACACAATGATTGTTTTCTACTGTCTCTGCTTTCGATCGCAGATGAAATGTAAAATAATAGCAAATATAGGGAATAATATGTTGAGACTCTGAAAGAGATTTGATCCATTGATGTCATAAGAAGGGGCGGGGCTGCGAGCAGATGTGGTACCTCCAGCTGTTTAATGCTGATGGGACTGCCGCTCTAATGAATCAGTTCTTAGGGAGTGAAATGCTGAATACCTGGGAACCATTCTGCTCCTGCGGGTTTGCTGAACCGTGACGCTGACCTTTGGTTTGTCAGGAGGAGCGAGCTCATTGGCCACCAGTTGAGCGTCAACGGCGATCTGTTAAAAACACATTTAGAGCCTCAGAAGCCGCCTACGGTAAAGTTTATTTAACTTGGTCTCCGTTTCTCTCACCGCTTTGAAGACGCTGCTGACCGTACCGGCCACCAGCGGGCTGCGACCCTCCGCCAGCAGGTCGAACATCACCGACAGCAGCTTCTGCTGCACCTTCTCGTCTCCGAGGGCCGAGAAGAACGGCTTGGTGATCTGTAGGCAGGATGGGCCAAATGCTCAGAAATGTCTCAGACATTAACCTGCAGCTTCGTTAAGCTTCGTTAAGCTTCGTTAAACCTCCACCTGTTCCAGGGCGCAGATCTGACAGCCGGCCAGCCGCAGAGCTCTGACCAACAGGTCCATGCAGTTCTGCTCCTCGGCCAGCAGGGGCGCCGACGCCTCGTTAAACTTCCCCAGCACCAGCTGCAGCAGCTGGGTCTCAGAGCGCAGCGGGGAAGGCGTGTCGGGTCCGGTTTGCTCCAGGAGGCGTTCCAGGACAGGAAGCAGAGCGGAGAGGATGAACTGGAAGGACACGGAAAAAATAAATCATCTCTTCTTCAGAAAGAAAACGGCAAATAAATAAATAGATGTTTCTGTTTCTACACCTTTGGCAGTTACACTGCAAAAAACTGAAAGGTTGAAAACAGCAACACAGATGACATAAGTCATTTTTTCTTAAAATAAGTGATTTTTGTCTACAATTGAGGAGGGAAGTGAGACACTGTGCCAATGGAAAAAGACAATATATATATATAAATAAAATAAGAAAAAACAGTTGCATTGTCTTATTTTAAGTACATATTGCCTAATTATTTTATTCTAAGAGTAAAAATAATCATTTCATTGGCAGATCAGCTTATTTTCCAGCTCAAATTAAGGGTAAATACACTTAATATAGGAAGTTTTTCTCATTTCTAGATCTTTTTTACAGTTTTAATTTCTTTTATACCAGGTAGTCATAATATATAAACATCAAACAGAATGTCTTTACTAAAAACAGATAAAAATTACTTTTCATCAACAGAAACTAGACAAACATCTGACTAAAATGATCAGAGTTTTACTGAAAGTTTACCACAAAGATTAAAAATAAAAATAAAACAGGCGGCACTATTGCCCAGGCAACGGTTGCCCCGGTGCGGCCTACTGGCAGCCAGTGACCTCTCACCTTTCCGTTGACGAGGCTGAGCGCCCTCAGCAGGGCGGCGGCGGTGTACGACGGGCAGCAGGGGTCCTGAATGTTCCGCAGCAGCTGCTGCAGCGCCGCCTGCAGCTTCTTCTGTTGCGACTTGACTTTGCTGGATAACGACTCGTCATGAAGAACAGAGAGAACCTGGAGACGATAAACCAGGTCGTTTTCAAAGCTGATCCTTTGACTTGGTTTATTCACTGATTCTGAGGTTTTCAGGGCAGATTGAGTCTGAAATCCTTGAAGATCTCACCGTGCTCAGATATGATGGGTCAGCTATGATCTCCTCTGAGGTTCTCTGCAGCCTCTCTATGATTGGCTGGAAGGGCAGGCTGCTGGTTCCTGATAGGCTCTGAAGGACGCTGAGGGCGGCCCTACGGACCTCCCGAACAGGAGAACGAACGCAGCACAGCAAGGAGGGGACCACTGATGCAAGGAGACACATCAGAGCAGAGAAAAGAGCTTTAAACAAACCTGGAAGGTCAAACCAGTAAAACCAGCAACCTTCACTGGATTATTGACAGGAAGGAAACAACAAGATTGCTTAGCGCTGCCTTGCGTTACTTAGCGTTACTTAGCGTTGTCTAGCGTTGCTTAGCGCTGCTTAGCGTTGCCTAGCACCGCCTAGCGTTGCTTAGCGCTGCCTAGCATTTCTTAGCGCTGCCTAGCGTTGCTTGGCGCTGCCTAGTGTTGCCTAGCGCTGCCTAGCATTTCTTAGCGCTGCTTAGCACCGCCTAGCGCTGCTTAGCGTTGCCTAGCGCTGCCTAGCATTTCTTAGCGCTGCCTAGCGTTGCTTGGCGCTGCCTAGCGTTGCTTAGCGCTGCCTAGCGTTGCTTAGCGCTGCCTAGCATTTCTTAGCGCTGCCTAGCATTTCTTAGCGCTGCCTAGCGTTGCTTGCCGCTGCCTAGCATTGCCTAGCATTGCTTAGCGCTGCTTAGCGTTGCCTAGCGCTGCCTAGCATTTCTTAGCGCTGCTTAGCACCGCCTAGCGTTGCCTAGCGCCGCCTAGCGTTGCTTAGCGCCGCCTAGCATTGCTTAGCGCTGCCTAGCATTTCTTAGCGCTGCCTAGCGTTTCTTAGCGCTGTCGCCTAGTGTTGCTTAGCACTGCCTAGCGTTTCTTAGCGCTGCCTAGCGTTTCTTAGTGCTGCCTAGCGTTTCTTAGCGCTGCCGCCTAGTGTTGCTTAGCGCTGCCGCCTAGTGTTGCTTAGCGCTGCCG